TCCGTCAATACTGTTGTCACGTCCGTTGCTGCTTCGGGTCCATGTCCATTGGTAGAAATCATTCGTGTTGAATCACTGTTGATCGAGTCATGCTGCTGTCGATGTGTCTCGGACTGGTTAGCATCTGGGCTGTCTGTTAATCGTGTAGTCTCCTCAGGTAAAAGTAGGCACCGAGTCGTCTGTCGGATGTGAGTCTCCTTCAACTTAGCTTAGTAACTTGGTGGGTCGGTCTCGTCTAGGCTGTAGGGCACTAGCACTGTCTGATAATAGATAGAGTGGTACATGTTGTTTAACACGTGCGTTCAGGTGCTGAAGGGTTCTACCTACATATCGGCGAACACAATGCCGACATTCAAAATGGTAGATTACATAGGTAATTAGTTGGGTAGGAAGAACGTCCTTCTTCACCGTGAACGCACGCGCTGTAGTGAACACTGGCGTAAAGGAGGTAGCGGAGTAAGTTTGACGATTTCTTTAACTTCTCGGGCTGCATCTAGTGATACTTGACCCTTCCATGGGAGTCTCAAAAATACTCGCCACGGATTGGGCCCGAAAGGCTGTTCCATGGCATTGACAACAGGCTCATTGAATAGTTTGTTCAAGAGTTGTACGGGGTAACCATTCTTAACAAAATCTTGTCTCAGGAAAGCTAGCTCTTCCTGAAGCTTACTGGTGTACCTCAGGGCTCGGTCCTAGGACCGATCCTGTTTAGCATGTACACCCGTGATGTCCCTGCCATAGCCCATCCTGCTCCATCTCTGCAATTTGCCGATGACATTGCCGTGCACTGCCACAGAAAATCAGTGCTAGCCACATCAGCCTGCCTGTCAGGGGCCGTCACCAACGTCGCTGACTGGCTCAAGCATCGCCATCTGCTTCTAAATGACAAGAAGAGCCAGGTCCTGTCAATTGTACCAAAACGCAATGCGGGTCAGCATGTCGCTGTCCGCTGCAACCAGACAGAGCTTCCCCTGAGCCCAACAGCAAGGTACCTCGGCGTGACCCTTGACGCCGCTGGGAAGTGGGACCCCCATGTTGACGCGATGGCGAAGAAAGTTGTGCAGAAGATTGGAGCATTGTGGCGGTCCCGCAGATGTCTGAGCCTCAGTAGTCGCATCCAGTATGTGAGGTCAGTCATCATGCCTGACCTCCTATATGGGTCTAACGCCTTCTCTTCCTCCCTCAAGGTTTCGCAGCTTGATCGCCTTCAGGTCCTGCAGAACCGAGCGGCGAGAGCGGTATACGGTTTGCCGCCTCACACCTCGGCTCAGCCTCTGCTCGAACGGATGTCCCTGTACAGAGGTCGCGAGTGCTACGCCCAGAAGCGGCTCGTCCTGGTGTGGCGCTGTGTCAATGGGAAAGCCAGCAGTGTCCTCCAGGACCTATTCTCACCATCAGCTGGCAGCACCACCCGGCACCAGGTTTCCAGGGGCCTCACTGTCCCCTCGGCACAGTCAGAAGCCGGCAGATCTCGCCTGGCCTTTCAGGCAGCCTTGGCCTGGAACGCTCTCCCAAGGAGTGTAAGGGAGATCAAGGCTGCCCAGCAATTTAAGCTTGCCTCCATCCCCTACACCTTGCAATGAATGCTCTGTCTGACTTTTCCCGTCCACACACCACGTCATTTACTCTTCTCTGCGTGCTTGTGCGCTTATGAACTCTTTGTGTTCCCTCTGTTGACGCTTCAAAATCGCTCTATTGACACTGCAAAATCGCTCTGTTGACGCTGCAAAATTGCTTATCATCTCCCTCCCTCCCCCCCCCTCTCTCTCTCTCTCTATCTCTCTCTCTCTCTCTATCTATCTCTCTCTATCTCTCTCTCTCTCTCTCTCTCTCTCTCTCTCTCTCTCTCCCCGTAGCTCTCTCCGTTTTGAAATTCGCTTCCATAGAATTGGGCACCATTGCCCGTTTGGCCTTGCGAAGCAAAATAAAAATCAACAACAACAACAACTGGGTGAGCAAATGCGCCTAGCAGTAGGCTAGCACGCTCAATAAGATTACGTACACGATTTGTTTAATACAGGGGCGAGCAATAAATATTATTTGCAGCCATCTTCGTATGATATTGATCGTTTGTGATAATTGCAGTACATGTACCTCTACCCTTGTCTGGCTTTGTAATAATGTCCTTATGTACTCTGAGATCACGGAGAGACTTCATGTGTTCCCGCGTTAACGAGAATGACTTGCGGCCCGGCTGTTGTGTGGCATGTTCCTCCGCTATCATGTATGGAGCGTAACTTACAAACGCACAGCCACTTCTGTGTATCTGAGCACGATTCAAATTCGGCTACTAACCTATTGTACTAACCTATTGTACTAACCTATTGTACTAACCTATTGTACTAACCTATTGTACTAACCTATTGTACTAACCTATTGTACTAACATATTGTACTAACCTATTGTACTAACCTATTGTACTAACCTATTGTACTAACCTATTGTACTAACCTATTGTACTAACCTATTGTACTAACCTATTGTACTAACCTATTGTACTAACCTATTGTACTAACCTATTGTACTAACCTATTGTACTAACCTATTGTACTAACCTATTGTACTAACCTATTGTACTAACCTATTGTACTAACCTATTGTACTAACCTATTGTACTAACATATTGTACTAACCTATTGTACTAACCTATTGTACTAACCTATTGTACTAACCTATTGTACTAACCTATTGTACTAACCTATTGTACTAACCTATTGTACTAACCTATTGTACTAACCTATTGTACTAACCTATTGTACTAACCTATTGTACTAACCTATTGTACTAACCTATTGTACTAACCTATTGTACTAACCTATTGTACTAACCTATTGTACTAACCTATTGTACTAACTTATTGTACTAACCTATTGTACTAACCTATTGTACTAACCTATTGTACTAACCTATTGTACTAACCTATTGACATATTGTAGAAAAGCTAGAATTCTTTAAAAGGGTTTTAAAAGTGACGTTAGAGAATACCGAAATCGATGCCTCTACAGAGGAGCTCCTTCTCAATGTTGCTCAGTTTTACAATAGCCAGATTAATAATCGTACTATGCTCAATTGTAAAAGACCCGAACAGCTTCTTCCTAAGGCAATTCAAGTTCTTTCGATATTTAGTGATAAGTCGTATATGTTGCGTGTTGTCATTTTGTGATAGGAGGTTCGAGAAACCTAAGAAATCAAAAAGCGGAATTCACAGAAGCTTTTTTTTCGATGCGATGGGCGATGCGACGCGTGCGATGCAAACTCGCGAAATACCATTCACGGAAGAAGTCAGCGTTGCGACAACGCCTTGTTGATTTGGCGTGAAGTCCAATGCAGGTGGGTACGTCACCATGGTATTCGCGTGGTTAGGTACAACTTGTTCAAATTGACAGGAAACTCTTGAACCTTTGTACCACGTTGCTGTAGAAAAGGTCAAAATCGTACGCCAAATCGCTTGCCACATCGCAAAACTTGAGCCAAGCTCAACTTCTGCGATGGCCCTGTTGCGGCCCTGTTGCATGGGCTGCGAGATGGCTGCGATACGGGGATTTTTCGGTTTCGCGGGGAGAGAAATGAAACGGCCTGAGCATATTTTAAACGTCTTTTAAGCGGGATTCACAGAAGCTTTTTTGTGATGCGACACGCGATGCGACGTGATCTGCCACGGACGCGTGCGATGCAAACTCGCGAAATACCATTCACAGAAGAAGTCAGCAATGCGACAACGCCTTGCTGATTTGGCGCGAAGTTCAATGCAGGTGGGTACGTCACCACGGTATTTGCGTGGTTTGGTACAACTTGTACAAATTTATAGGCAACTCTTAGACTAGTTGTTGGAGGTGACAGCGTTGCGAATAGCTATACTGGCTCTCACTGTCTGTTTATCACAACTCCATGAGCGACTCTGACTCACGCTGCTACCGGGAGCTTCACGAGGGGTTTGTCGCGCTGGAAACAAAGCGTCTCTCTAAGTTTGTATCCCTGGTGATGGTTTGGCCTGGAGAGCAGTACAAAAGTGGTGCTTTTCAGGCACAATCTTCCTAAGCCTACTCAAGCTCAACTGATGAGGGGTGAATTCCCCGAAACACCGTGTATTGAGCAGGGAGTGGTGCTTTCTTGCAGGTTTGCCGAGTGGAAGGTGCGACGTGCTCCTCGTGTGCTCCGGATGGCAGTCGTGAGTCAGTCAAGTGTCAAGTTCGGCAAGAAGCGTGTGTTCCTAGTTGGAACAATCAACTTCATGACTATTACCGCCGAAGTCGCAACTTCTAAGTTCTTAAACCTTTGTACAACTTTGCTGTAGAAAAGGTCAAAATCGTATGCCAAATCGCTTGTCGCATCGCAAATGTTGAGCCAAACCCAACTTCTACGATGGCCCAGTTGCGGCAGTTGCGTGGGGTGCAAGATGGCTGCGATTTGGGGTTTCGCGCCTGTTGCATCGCGTGTCGCATCGCAAAAAAGCTTCTGTGAATCCTGCTTAAACTGGGACTTGACATTGCTGAGAGCTACTCACGGCCAATATCATCTTCTAAAATGAAGACTCTCTCTTTCTCTCTCCCTCTAGGTTGAGGGAGTGATATGCCTGCGCCTTGTTGACGCGTTTCGGTATCGATTGTGGCCAAACACCATGCTTTAAACATTGTGTGAGGAATTTAAGGTTGTGTGTACGACAAATAAAGCGCTTCCCAATAGCTGTGTTCAAGTATTCTACCTGAGGTGCAGAGTATCTCCTCTTGAGGTATACGAATAAGCGGCGCACAGACAATAACTTTATTATGGCAATCAGCAGAATCAGCGACGCGGACATTTGATGTAGTGATCAACAAAAACAAAATATGGATAAAAAATTTCCTAACAAGTTTTCTAGAGACAATCATTAGGGAAAAACGGTCAAAATCAAGGGAATTCAGTTTCGTTGTCCAGGGAACTCAACCCTCCAGGTTGGCATGTATGTGTGAAACTCAATTTGAAATTTTTTTGAAAACACCGGTCCTGTAGGAATTCAATTC